CTCCTTTTATACCCTTCAAAACTAAAGTAGGTGTACTAAATAAGAAGCGTGTGCGCACCGCGGGAAAGTGAATCCAGCCAATCAGGTAAATGCCTCAAAGTGTGCACACCGCGGGAAACTAATTCCAACCAATCACGTAAATGCCTCACTGCTAATCTGCTGAACCTTCCAGGCTTCAGTCAATCACATAAAAGCCTCACTGCTGAACTGCTAAATACCATGAGTCACATTTTCCTTCAATCCTTATCACAGTCCTAAGCATGAGTCATATTTTCTTATCACTGATCTGAGCATGAGTCAGAATTGCTTATCACAATTCATGACACATGTCCTGCATCTCCCACATCTGATCCCCCGTAAGAAAAGAAACAACATCCTCTCTGCCTTCCACACTTTTAACAACTTATCACCTTTCAAACATGTCTTGGCATCACAAAAACATGAAGGTGTCAGTGGTCTACATCCGTATCATCTTGGTATTGTTCCACGCCAGGGGAAGTCAATTGGTGTCACAAAGGACACCAATCAAACAACCAGAAAGACAATAAACAAGCCTTCCCCCTTACAGAAGAAGCAACGTGAGGCAGCATATTCCCTTCTTCAATTACTTGAAAGATATATTTGTGAACCAGTCAAACACAAATATGAAAATGTCGACAAAGATTCCGTGGATTATTCATTTTATATCAATCATCAGGGTTGCTTGGCAACTATTGAAGAGAAGACAATTGAAAAAACAAAGACAAATATGATGAGGTTGGGAGGAGTGGCGACGGCGGTTGCAGTTGGTCATGGAGAAGCACGTCTGCCTCATCTTGATCAGAATGACGTAGACTCAATTCTGACATTCCTGGCTCAACTCTCTGGTAAGCCTGGCTTCACACACTTTCCTCAATTGCACCTGGATGCTGCTTTGGGTGCTGGTGATGTCCTCATTGCTCCTTTTTCAAATTTGATCCATCACGCTGTTGGAGAGGGACCAGCACCTGAGGATAGAGTCACTGCTGTGTTTTATACATGCCGCCATGTGGAAAGTCTCTTGATGGACCATGTAGATGGAAAAGTGGTCAACAGGCCACTGCAGGGAATGGATATAGACGATGTGTCACAAACCATGTCGTAACATCCCTGACAACCACCATCACCGACCCTCCTTTCACCATCACCAACCACCATCCGAACCACTGAGACCAACTACGGCGAAGATACGAGATTGTAGGAGGTATTTGTCACAATAACCCCAACTAGCGGAGAACTACGGCAAAGTTAGAGGAGGGGAACCAAGAGAGAGCAGAGCAGGGGAAGTTAGGCAAAGTTAGGCAAAGTTAGTCGAGTAGGATATTGGGGATATGGCGAGGTATAACAAAGTTGAGCAAAGAGGACTGAGCGCGAGGCTGTGCAGAAGTTGAGGAATGTTCTATGAGAAGAGAGGGAGAGTATAGATAGTTTACAGATTGCTGAACTTCTTCAGCAATTCTTGATTGTTGTCAGTAGCGAGTGATATATTCAGTAGCTACAACCTTCAAATTAAGGAGAGCTACCACCGAGCAGCTTGACGCACTACGGCGAAGTTAGCCGCAGTTCATCGACGATCACCTTATCAGTTATCACTTGATGTATTACAACGGCGAAGTTAGCCGTAGTTCCCCCAACGAGTAACCTGTCCTAGTGAGACATCGACGCCCCACTACAATGTAGTTAGCCAAGGTTTGTCGACTGTCGGTCAGTAGAGGAGAAGAAACAACGATTGTGACACGATGTGATAATCATTGACGATGATCAAGAGTCAGGGGATGGAGACAAAGGGAACAAGGACACATATAACTGATGCATTTCCCTTCCCTTTTTCATTTTGCAAGGCAATATCATGGTGAGTCAGGTAGTCTTTGATACTTCCATCTTGTGGCTGTCTGCCGAAAGACTCTTAGGTTTGGTTTTCTGATACCGATGCAGGACCACCTGCACTGTGATTCTATGAATTCAGCTGCAGCACTTCAAAGTATGATGCCTTACCATATTGGCTTCCTGGCTTTGAGTGACTTGAGTAGCAATCACTTCAAGTCTCTCTTCAGCAGCTTTTGTGTCATGTTCTTTTTCAGCGTCAAGAAACCACCATGGCATAGGACCACAATCAAGAAAACGCAGAGGATGAGAGAAGGACTTTGAATAGCCCTTGGAAGTTGTCAGACCAAGCTCAATACACGCTTTTCCACAGATATGAGTTGAAAGAAAGAGGTTGACCATGCCTGCACCTCCGTCACCCATACTAGAATCACCTTGTTTACTGGGAAAAGGAAAGAACATCACCATAGCGTGATACCTACGTATGTGTGATCAAATCAAAGAGATGGAACTCCCCATAGTCTTTTGGGCCTTTCCTCTTTCCACCACTGGGTTTATTCCGTACTCCTGACACTGGTGAGTTCAGACCTTGTTGTGTGATAAGTTACTCACGTTGTATATCAGCCAAGACAATCATGGCTTCCTGTTACGGGGTAACAACGAATCGAGAGAACTCCATCGAACTTGACGGATTAGGAAAGAGAACGGCGAGAGTTGGAGGCAGTGCTGCAGTAGGTAGGGAGGGGTTTTCCCTTTTCGAGATTTCCCCACTGGGTTTGCTCCAAAGTGGTTTTTCACCTGTCCGAGTATGTACATAGATGCTTGCAGTAGGACTGAGAGGAGGACACGGACTCTTGTACATAGTATATAGTACAATCAGCAAAGTACCAACTTTGCTGATTCTTCAATATCATTCTTTGGCTACATTGATTGCAGAGGAGACACGATTCACCACATTGCACCAGAGACACATAGATTTCCGCGAGAGTTCCATTGAGTTCGACCCAACCTGCAACCTAGTCATTGTGTTTTCAGTACCGTCACACTTCCTCTTGTGCATCTGCGGATTTTGCTCCACTAACAGCTGAATGAAAGATAAAATGGATGAAAGCGTGCATGAAGCAATGAAGGAGAAGATCATCTCCGTCAATGGTACTATCATCTGGCATGGTGAATTCATCTGTGTTGTTAATCTTGAGATATTCACCAAGGGGCCACAGATCTGGCTCGACCACATGAGTGGAGGGAGACAGGCTCAAATTGAGTCTTCATGAGAAAACATGGTGTGTAGACGAAAGTAGGGTGGGGTAGAATCTTGTAAACCTTTCCAAGCTCTTCAGAAAACGCCTTCAGATAGGATGCAATCATGATTGCTTTCTTGCACTCCATTTCAAGCAGCTTGCAATTGGTGTCCTCAGTCATGGTTGCCAAAGCAAACACCTTGTGATCATAACGGAAGTGCTTCTTGGCGACAAGCTCAACGTCATTGTATTGGAACTAGCATTTCAGCTCATGTGGATGAAAGTGGAAGGACCAACCTCGAACACTTGTTTGTGACTTCCTTCATTAAAAGCTTTGTCTGCAACGAGCCCACTCACGGGTCCACTCTGTATAGGGATCCATTCTTATTGTGCTGGAAATCAGTTTTGATGAACTCGACTGACTTGAAGACATATTGATGACCTTTTGAGATAGATAGTGCCATACGGCCTGAATGTGAGCTAAATAACAAAGTGAAGGTAGAAGCAACTGACTGAGCACTTCCTTGCTATGTGCTGCTAGACTTGAAACATGGAAACCAGTGAAAAGATCGCTTGCCAGCCAGCACGTGAAGCGGTTGAGGTCCTTGATACCGATCCCAAGATAGACTGGGTTGAAGCCAGACTATCGCCTTCAGTTGTAGCGTGGGAAAGGTTTGTGTGTGTGTAAGGGGCTGACCAACGAGAGAGTCGATCAGTGACAACCCTGGACATTGATGGACGAGAGAGATGCCCATGGGCTTTCCCATGTTGCTTGTGGGATTGTTTGTCTTCCAACTGAAATAATGAGTGTAAATCATTTTGGAAACATAATTGCGCACCACATAGTCTATGTTGAGGATGATGCAGACAAGGATGTAGCCAGTTTGCTCTAAATCCTTCACAAGGAGGAAGAGTCAGTTCTGTTTGCAGTATACCGTAAAGAACTCAAACAACGTAAGTGGTAGATATTCATGAGATAAGGCAACAGGATTTCCATTTTGGTTGGGCAACACCACTTGCGGGGCACATCTGTTATCAGTAGTGCCCCTATACAGGTATCAACTCACTGTTCAAATGTTTTCCCGGTTTCTATCTCTCCTTTCCCTTGTTTCCACATCTGCTCACCCATCCAAAGGGCCTCATTGACGTTTGCTTGCACACTTTCCTTCCACTTTCCGGTGAAAATTGAGTCAAAGATAGCTGCCTGCCAGTCTTGCACCTTTTCATCTTGGCCTATGCAAGTCAGCAAGACGTAACACTGTCGAGGTGAGACTCACGCAACATGATTCTTACTTGCATTGCCGGTCCTGGAGCGGTTAGACCAGCTTTGTGTGCTGTTTTTTTGGATGTCATTTCGTCCAACAGCCAAGTACCGGAAGAGATCCCAGCTTGGGTCATGGGTGTGGCCGTCCTGAAGGGTGATCCATGGAGACTTGACTGGGCATTTTGATGGCTCAGAGCAAGAGCTTCTGCTTGTCTTGTGAAGATCAGACAAATGTACTGGATGTCATCAAAGACCTACCGTCACGTCTACATTTGTCACACACTTTGGGATTGTCCTTCTCTTCAAGTGGACTATTTTGGAAGAACTGTGTGCCAAAGATGCCACAGGTGAGACATTGAGGTCGTGACTAATATTCAGTTCAATACCATTGTGACATTGCTAAACTCACCTCATAATATTTGGTTTCCTTGTCTGTTGGCTTTGGTCTGGTACGGACCTGCTCAATCTTGCAGCATCGTATACAACTTTCAGATTCCAAGCAGTTCTTGACAAAAATCTTATCACAATCCCGACAGGTATGGACCATACTGGAAAGAGATATGTGATGGAAAGATGAGATAAGTGTTTGTGCCAGAAGAGAACAACACTGGAGTTTCCTTTCAATGTACAAATTGCATGTGGCACTTCTCTAGCTATGTCATTAACCAGAGCTGTTGTAATTCCTTTTGTACTTTGGGTTCTACTTCTCTGAACAAAGTCCATGCCATGTCCCAGCTCTGTGGAGGGTACTCTAACGCCTCCACATGCACAATATCCATGCAACACTGCAGCACTTCAGGAGATACCCAAGTCATCTGTGCACGCCGCTCAGCATTCTTTCTGAACTCCTTGGTGATCTCCATAGCAGGAAAAGGTTGCAAACACTCCCTGCCGCCCCATCGCTGAGGATTGAAATAGATTTCATTCCGTGATGCCCCAGAAGGATTAACCTTTTCCTTTTGGTATCTCACGGGGTAGGAATCAAATGTTTTCATGAAGTCGTCCAAAGCTTGTTGCACTACGGGTGGAGCCAACCAGTTCAGGAGTGACCTACATTGTCAATGTCTTCACTGCGTGTAGCCACCAAACTGAAACCTATACGTACTGATGAACCAAATCTCCATCGTGAACAAGACCTGACTCAAAGGAAGAATTAAGGGCAGCTTTGACTTGATCGACCACATTTTCCGGTACATTGCACCAGGATCGTTCAATTGTGATATTCTGGGTACTCTTTAGAAGCTTGTAGGGAAAGACTTGGTCCAGTCCCACTGTCGAGTATGAATTACTATGGGCTCAATATCTTCATATTACACTGTTCCATCACTCACCGGAATGCAATTTGTGTTGCAATGATCTCACCTATCTCTGATCCACGGTCACTGGCAATCTGAAGAGGAAACCCTTAGGACATGAGTGTTGTCATTGGTCAAGGAACTCACCTCCGAACTTGATGGCTGCATTGAGGAAGACACAGTGTACATCATCACTACATCTGTTAGAAGGCATTGCCTGCAGTGACAAAAGCCGTCCCGAATAAACATCACGGATGCCGTAGATGCCTATGCCATAAGCAGACAGCTTATCATGACCGTCAATCGACCATTGTTCATTTGGTCCAACAGAGATGATGGGAGATCGAACAACCTTTCTGCTTCCTGGTTGGCGTGTTGCGAGGCCATGTGGATTGTACTCTTTCATTGCTTTGTAAATGAGATCCCTGGTGATCATCAGCAACAGCATTGTCATCATGTACTTACTTACCTAGTGTCATGACCCTACTCATCATGACTTCCCCATCCAAGGGTCCGGGCCATTCCTCAGAGAGAAAGGTTCTCAGTGAAGTCTCACAGAAGTCTTGCAGAAGGGAATAGAGGTTTACGCCTCACTTTTATTCAAGATATCACGTTTTGATTCAAAGTATGACGTAACTGAACTTCTGGTGAAGACTTAGGTGAGATTTTTGTTGGGAATCTCTTCAACGATAACCTCGCTCTGCAGGATATATAAACCCCCCCTGTTGGCCCCGTGGATCCTTTTTCCCAAGGATCAAGATATCTTTGCTTTTGCATTTCATATTTATCAGACCTCTTCGGGAGCACTTCTTACAGAAGTGTCATCCTTGTTTGATACATACTAGCTTGACCACTCGATCCTTCCAAGCTATCCTACCCTTCTTGACTTATACTTTCTTGACTTGACTATCATCTGATCACTTCACAGTACCACGGACCATTTTCATTCGTCTTGGTCCAAGACCATCTAAACCTTTATCTTCCACTCCGTCTTTGTTCTTCAGGTCTCACAAGGACGGTTCGCAACACCTGGGAAGTAGAAAGCCTTGAAGTGTCATACGGTGCTTCATGGCACAAACACCAATGACATTGGTGATGTCACGGTCCATCTCCTCCTGCATGACCTGCACTGCATCTTGAACAGAGAATACACTCTTTCTAGATGTCCCTAGCCCATAGTATTTGGTGGCATAAAAGAAGCTAGATTGAGAACTGAGGGGTGATCAACTATTGGCAATGGGTGACCTATTCAAAGCCTGTACTATTCCCATGCTCTTTCTTCTTCAGCCGTTCATTGATGGCCTTCCAATCTGTCATCCCTTCTGCATAGTACTGTTGCAGGACGTCTCGTAGATCCTCAATCAAAGCAGCTGCAAGAGTAAGTGTATTTCGGCCTGAATTACTTATGAGATGCTCTCTTCCCATTTTTCCTGGTGGGATTATTGATTGGATAGGCGGTGTGTATGATGGGAAGTAAGTTATCAATGTTGGAAGGATAGAGGTGGTCATCAGTGTCAGCTACTGTGGACTCCGGGATGAGTTGCACAGGGAAGCTCACTGTTGGCAAGGCCTCAGCTGAAAGTTCATAAAGGGGAGGGGAAGGGAAGAAAGGAAGGAAGGGTGACATTGCGGTGATTTCCTGGGACTTCCCGTACACTGTGCATGAGACCAAATGGACAATGCTGTAATGCTGTAGGCTGGGTTCCTTTCTCTACACTTCCATTGTTTCTTCTCTTGCATCGACAGCATCTCTGACGACTTTGCCTTGCCCACTTGACGTCGAGACCATCCATCCTTCCTTGCTTCTTTCTACACGACGCCCGTGCCATCCGGTCATGCCCCGCCAGCTTATCGTGATCTCGGATCTTGCAGTCCTACCAAACGAATCGGGCCTACGACCGGTCACACTAACCATCGACCTCGACAGCGGGCGTATCACCTCGGTCCTCAAGGGGCACGAGGTCGTTCCTGATGATCCCGACAACCAGGTTCTCCGTCTGCACGAAGGTCACGTCCTGCTTCCTGGATTGATCGAGTAAGGGGACGTTCTCTGGCCGTGGTCGACGAGCTCACGTAACAACAGCTGTCACGTTCACCTCAACCAGCCTGGTCGAACAGCCTGGGAAGGATTTCAAACCGGCACACAAGCCGCTCTCACTGGAGGAATCACAACGCTCATTGACATGCCACTCAACTCGATACCCTCGACGACCAGCGTTGACAGTCTAGACGTCAAACGTGTGGAGGCCGAGCGGAGCGGGGTGTACTGCGACGTGGGCTTTTGGGGTGGTATAGTGCCGGGGAACGAGGACGAGTTGGTACCCATGTTGAACAAAGGGGTCAAAGGCTTCAAGTGTTTCTTGATAGATTCCGGCGTCGAGGTCAGTCGATGGACAACATGTAACATTATTCCACACATATCCCACACATACACAGATCGACCCCCCAACCATCTCACGTGCTGATCAGGCGTCAGGAGTTTCAACATGTCACTGAAGGGGACCTCAACGCAGCGTGCGAAGCGCTCAAGGTGAGCTCTATCTATCTCTCATCGCCAATACAGCTGATCATCGTCTAGAACACCAACGCGCTCATCCTTTTCCACGCAGAGGTCGATTGTGGACATTCTCCCGAGCATACTCATGCGGATCCCTCGCGATACTCCACTTTTCTCGCTTCCCGACCCCCCGAGCTCGAGCTCTCAGCTCTTGAGGTGATCCTCAGAGTGGCCCGATCCTATCCCCAACTTCGCTTCCACATCGTTCATCTTTCCGCTGCAGACGCTCTACCCCGAATCAGACAAGCCCGAGCTTCTGGTATCCAGAATCTCACAGTCGAGACCTGTTTCCATTACCTCACATTGCGCTCCGACGACATTCCACCCCTCGCCACGCAGTACAAATGCTGCCCCCCTATCCGATCCGAGGAGAATCGACAGCGACTCCTCCAGGGCGTCGTGGACGGGACCATCGATTACATCGTTTCTGACCATTCGCCTTGCACCCCGGAGCTTAAGAAGGGTGATTTCATGTCGGCTTGGGGAGGCGTCTCTGGGCTCGGTCTTGGTCTACCTTTGCTTTGGACCGAGCTTGGTGACAAAGTCGATCTGCCACGTGTAGTGAGCTGGCTATCATCGAAGCAGTCTGCGCAGGTCGGATTGGCAGGGAGCAAGGGAAGTCTCGAGGTTGGGGCAGACGCCGATTTTGTCGTATTTGACCCAGAGGCGAACACTCTGATACAGGAGGTCGGTTTCTCCCATAGCCAATCGTTTTGACAACATGTACTAATGACAGAAAAACCTGATCTTCCGAAACAAGGTGTCGCCTTATCTTGGTCGTCAACTCCGAGGCAAGGTTTTGTCAACCCACATCCGAGGCGAGATAGCCTACAGCAGCGATCAAGTTTCCTTTTCTCAGGATACATTGGGCCGTTTGCTGTAGATCTCGACTTTCCTTTCATGTGACCACGAGCATGCATTGCATTGCATTCGTCTACTGTCGTACCCCACCTGTGATCTCGTCATCGAAGGCCTGCCGCCATTCGTCCAGGGGTATTTGGCGCAGGCGATCCAACATCTTCGTGTTGACAGCTGCAATGTCGACCGATTCGTGATCTTTGGAAATGGCGTGACCAGCCCATCGTTTGAGACCGTCAATGACAACGTCCAAATCAGCGTCGATGACCTCCGCGCCTGACACATATCAGATCTCTAGTCGTGTATTATTTGCTGAAAGCTCACCAGCATGATCTCCCAGCGTCTGCAGTCTCTTCACTTCACGTAGTAAAATCATCGCCACTTCGTTCCATCTGACCGTCAGTCGTCACGATCACCAAAGACGTGGGTAAGATTGACATACATTGTGATGATGAAGAGATCAAAGCCCGAAGTCAACTGAAGGTCAGCCGAGGTATACCGCTTTTCCACCGACTTACGCTTTCACCCGTGAACAAACATATGACACTAACAAGCCTGCGGGCTACGAAGAGAGCTCGAGTGTTTTCAGCATCAAGTAATTTCACATTCCACAACTGAAGGTACGCGTCTCCGATCAGCACAGACTGAGTGTCAGTTAGCAGACCTGTCACCGATAGATTCACCCACTATGATGGCTGCTTGGCGTGACATGGCCATGCGAGGGAGTGCGGTCTCAGAGCCTTCATCCCATTGGGACCAAGGGCACCGAAAAGCTGGAGGGAGATGATCACAAAATACTTCGAGGCAATGTCGTAACCGCCCATGGGACTCCGGGTGAGTCATATGAGTCGCCCGGCTCTCCAATCCCCTCGCTTGACTCATGATAGCTTCATTGAAAACTTCAGGTTTGACGCGCCGTAATCTTGCAGCCTCCAGTTGAAAGGTCATGGCTTTGAGTCGGATCAAGTGGTAGTTGTCATCAGGCCTGCCAGGCGTAGGTGGGTCGGCCAGTATGGAGCTGATGGGAACATCGTCTTGAATCGAGACCAAGCCCTGAGGTCGTCAGCTCAGCTCATGAATCAAGAGCCGCAAGTCTCGCCGTACCAATGTGTAATGGTCATAGGGCCGTGGTAGAGGGGTCGTGACATCATTAATGTTGAAGACAGGGTCGTATTGATATGCGATTGCAGAGCAGGCGTCCAAAACGTACACGATCCAGCTGTTCATGAGCATAGTGGCCGATAAAGCAGTAGCCAGATGGACTCACAAAGTCAGGATACGCGAGGCATGAGTCATGATATCATCGGCGGGACTGACAGCGTATAGGCCTTCTCGCAGGGTGTACGATGCGATGAGGTTGACTTTTGGTTTGGGCTGCCAGACGGAGGATGGAATCCGGTGAAGGCCGGCCGCAATGGCAAGTCTGGTGTCAAACTCGATCATCATGGGTCGTGCGGAGGAAGACTCACCTAGCTGCTTGACCCACCATGCTGTACCCTAGGTTGTACTCCTCTTTGATGTAGTAAAAGTTGACAACAATGACCATCCCCCGGATGACGTCGATGATACGATCATGGGTCCTCACTCCCGACTTGATCTGCTGTTCTGCTATCTCGAGGAAGGTCGACTCTAGTCGCCGAAGGGAAGGCTGAGTGGAGCTACCGGCGCCCACAAGGAACATGGCGTACATGAGAGCAGGGTGAGGACGTCTCGCTGGCGGCCAGGTCAGTCGAGTGAAGAACGTAGCCCCATCGATGGGTACTTGAAATAAACCATTCCGGCTAAAGTAAAGGTCAAGCCTGCCCATCAGTGAGATACCTGATCACACACACACTCACAGGTGGTCTCTGACATGATGCGGAACATCCGTAGGGTCAAACCATCCTCCCATGACGTCGCCATTCACGAAGGCTGAGGATACGAAGGGGGGGAACTGGTCGTTGCGGTCGTGGACGTGGCCATGACCACTACTCATCCATTCACTGCCAGAGTGGCTAAACGCCCCGGTAAGATCCACCATCTCTCGATCAAGAAGCCCGAAATCGAAATCGAGAAGAGGAGCCGGGGCGGCACTGGGCCTCATATGTGTCAGTTGTTGCGTACTGCCGAACGCTGGTGATAGTGTTAAGGTTTCAGACGAATGCATGGGTGGTTGGCGCAGTTGAGGAGTGATGGTAGGGATGCTAGACGGACCGGCGGACGTGGGACCAGGGCTGAAATCGGACAAGCCTGTGGTAAAGGTGGCGAAAAGAGCGGCGTCAGCAGCGGAGTTGGGTGTTGTTTGGGGGAGGGGAGGGAGGAGATCATCCTGATTTGCCGGAGTAGTCCTCAGAGAGGCAGAGAGTTGCTGTTCGAGTTGAGCTGTGGAGATATAAGCTCTGACATACGAGCAGAAATGAGCGTGGATCCCACCTATCTTGGCTTGCAAGCCGGCAACCGTGTTCTGCTCGACTACTGGATCGTATTTGCAATGTTTCTTGAGTCGAGAGCAAGTCGCGCATGCGGGCCTTTCGGCGCTACATCACTACGAGATGAGCGTTGATCATACGATGCTGATTGGGCGGGGGAGGACTGACAATGCGTCTGCGGCGACAAGGCAGGCAAGCGTCACCTCTGGTGTGTCAGCATCGAACGGGCGGACAAGGGAAATGCCGACCTTTTCAAGGGACCGTCGTCTGCATCCGTAAGCTTAGGTGATGGTTAGCAGCGAGAGTGAACATGCACTCACGCCTAGAGGGTCCACCTTGAGCTGTTGCAGGCGTCGCTTGTCGCATGGCCGGGCCAGGGTGAAGGGTGAGTGAGAGAGGAGAGGAGAGTAGGTTCAGAAAGTAGTACAGTAGTAAGTATAGGTGAGTAGTCGGTTGAAACACGTGAGGATAAAGACAAGCTGACTTACAGTAGTGATATTTCTTGGAGCAGCAGCATGCAGCATGCAGCATGTAGCGTTCACCACCTGGCATCGCTCCAACCCCAGCGCAACTCTATGCCCCATCGCGACCTCATGCATATCTCGGTCTGTCCCCAGTCTGTCCCCCGTGTTCCCCTCCTTCAACAGGTCACTCGTCACTCTCCTCTTCATAATACCCGACGGGTGCGTCCTCCATCTTTCGTGGGTTGGGCAATCGCCTTTGGTCGCTTGACTGGCGCCATCCCTTCCTGCACCGCTTGAGCGCTCCCGACGAATCTTGACCTTCTCTTCGTAGGTCTCAACTTGGGCAGCCCAGTAACCCTGCTTGAGCTGGTCAAACGTCCATCGTCCCTCCCCACAGCCGGTCATGATCATGACCCTTTTGTCAAAGTCGACCCAATACGCAAACTCTCCGCTGTCGGTGCCCTCGATGAGGTGACGGAGATTACCGGCGAGAACAGGTCGAAGAGCGAGATGGGAAGTGCGCAAGGTGGCTCTGAGCAGACTTCTGAAGCGGACCAGCTCATATCTACGAAGGAAGCTGTCGCGATTGTATAGGCCGAGTGCGATGTATTCCTCTTGGAGATCTGGAGAGGCTTCATCCTCCTCGTCAACCCAAACGATCTGAAGATGAGCCCGTGCGTTACGGGTGGCTCATGCTCACCTGTTCGAGACGCTGTGCCATGAGTACCGCTTACCTGTAGATGGCTGATGAACAACAGTGTGGTAGCAGTCAGTGATCAGTACCTAGTGGTAGTAGCTTGCTGGTAGCAGCGTATCGGATGACATGCATGACATGCATCCCTCACGTTGTGTCACTCATGATACAGTAGTAGTAGTTGAGTAGTCGAGTAGAGTGAGTAGGTACTAGTAATACCGCTTATGACGTCACTCACTCACCACCACCACCACTACCCACCCACCCTAACTACATGTGTATACGTTCCGTCTCTTCTTCCCTCTCATTCACATCTCTCCTCTCACTCGTCAAATCTAGCCTTATCTCACAACATGACCAACGTCAACGACCGTCCGTCCACCAGCAATCCTACTCAGAACTCTATCGTTGACATCGCTCAACGTCACGTCCATGCCACCGCTCGTGTCGCTCAGGATGCCGTCCTCGGCGGCGTATGGCTTTATCCCATATGGGTCAGTAATCTCTCCTAACTATACTCCATCCTTGCTGACTCATAGGGCATAGTCTACCTCTTCAGTCGTCTGTCTCAGCCTCTCTCGCTTTTGCTGCTAACGCTGAACCGTCAGACCCCTCTCTCATCCGCCCCCTCATCCCTACTCTCTTCAAGGGCGTCTTGGTGTCTCTCGCCGTCATCGTAGCTCTCTTCACCCTCACGTACCTCCCTCAGGTTGCCTTCCTTGCTCTTTTCAGTGGGCCACTCGGCGAGTGGCTCTTTTTTGTCCTCCACTCCCCGCTGACTTTGCAGCCTTCATAGCTGCCGTCCCTTTGGTGCTCGGCGAGGCCTATGTGATCATCACTTTTTTAGCTCGAAGTTTCCTCGTCAAGTCGGGGTCGATCTCTTCGATGCGGTAAGTCTTCCTGTCTCATGACAGCCGTCCCAGGCTGACGTTGACCAAGGTTCTCCTGCTGAGAGGACAAAACACCCTGGTCGAACGAGGTCGTCAAGTCACTAGTAGCGGAGGAAGAACAAGACAGCTCGGTCAGGTCCTCACAAAGCCCCTGAGCAAGTTTAGTACGGTGTGTATGGTTGTCTTTAGCACGTTGTACGAATGCTCACTATCGACAGGACAACATCGTCCGCTATCTCCTCACATTGCCTCTCAACCTGATCCCTGTCGTCGGTACCGCCTTCTTCGTCGGGTGAGTCTTTATCGCTACGTCTCGAATTGTACTGATTTGTTCAGATACAACGGTAGGCCATGAACAAGAATACAACACGGAGCTGACACGTCCACAGGATTTAAAGCAGGGCCAGGTTATCATGCCAGATACTTTCAACTAAAAGGATACGACAAGGAGCAGCGTCAATCAGCCGTACACCGTCGCAGGGGAGGTTACACCGCGTAAGTCTGATGTCCATGGGATGTGACCTAGCTGACGGGTCAGACTGGGTACCGTCGCCACTCTACTCAACCTCATCCCCGTGGTCTCAATAGTGTTCATATGTGGGTGATTGCGTAACACATGCAGGGTATGGCGGCTGACGGACAGTCACGACGACGGTGGGAGCGGCCCTGTGGGCTGCCGATATCGAGGCGAAAGGTAAAGGCTCCAGTTCTGGTGGAGTGAGCAACCCATTGCAAGAGGCGGACAAGGGGGAGGTTGAACTGCCTCGCAAGGTGGTCAAGGATCTGTAGAATGTTGTTTGACATCTTGTTGAGATTTATGAGTGGTTGCAGAGGCGGGTTATGAATACACGAATCATGACGATTGGGTACAATAGCCATATCCGCCGTCACGTGTCCGATGACGATGGAAAGGACGATGAAAGGCGACGGCACTACTACTTACTTACTCTGACCCCCTCTTGCTCTCTCTCCAACTCTCTCCGTCCAGCCAAGAGTAGTGATTGAACCTTGTCCGGTGAGCCCGGGTGTCTGTTCACTTGGCGTACCGTCGCTTACCCCCCTCGGTCAGGTCTCCCGTCGTATCCTCAGTCTTTTAAGACGAGACACGACATGCCCGCTCTTCCCACCGTAGCCGCGATCCAGAGCCTGTACGCCTCAACCCGCAACACGGCCACTCGTTTCGCGTCTTACAACTTTCACGAATACTTTGTGAGACGTACGGATGACATGTTCAAGCCTGTCCTGGCTTCTCTGTCCCCCCCTCCCGGGTCCACTCCGACATTGACTCCCGATCCCAACGAACTGCACCGATTCTACCAAGCTCGGAGGAAGGAACTAGAGGTGATGGAGAGGGCTGCGACGGTCAGCAGCATGTTCAAAGGTCCCAAGCTGGTGGTGGAACACGCAGAGCCCATCACTGGAGGAGGGGGTGCTGGAATGGAGGCGAGCGCGGGTGGTGGAGGACAGCGAGTGTGACGGGATGCCGAGTGCGCTCTGGGTGTGACATTAATCATGCATCTAGTGACCGTCGAGGGGGGGAAGGGGGGGGCGGGGAGGGAGCATCGCCATCTACTCGATTCTCCTCTCCCAGCTGCAATGATGCATACTGCCAAGGTGCAACTTGTACTGACTACCAACTACTGCTACTAATTACTTCCCTCTGTAAGGAGCTGGCTGCCCCGATGCTCGATAAGCCACGTGTGCGGTCGCACCCTTCGGCCCGGTTCATCCCGCAGCCCGGCCATCGCGGCCATCCCTCCATTGGTTGATTGATAGCAGATGATTAGGCATGATTAGGTTGTGTTAGTGCATGGTCAGGCGGTTAGGCTTGCCATGCCAATAGGTTTACTAATGAGTTTACTAATGGGGGGTGGTGAGCTAAAGTGGGGGGATGGGGAAGGCGTGGGAAAAAGAGGACCGGGGTTTATTCATCTTGATCATTCCTCTCTCTCTCTCTTCCTTCCTCCCTATCTTTCTCTTTCTCTTCCCTACAAACTTCTTCCTTTTATCACGATCCCCTCGTCTATTGCGTCTCTTCATAAACGTGCGTCTCCTTCTTGTCCGTCAACTCTCTCTACCCGTACTGACTCACAGATTACGGTGCTGCATCTCACATCATGACCGGCTTCACTGACGCTGATATTCAATGTGTAAAGTGAGTGAGCCCTGCATCATCTCGTCCCTCCCACCGTCCCCCTTCTACTTCCTGTACACTCACTGTATACCTACTCCATCTTCTAGCTACCTCCCTATCGCACCAGGGAAATCTCACCGTCCGGCCCGTTGCTGACAATCAGCAACATTCGAGTCCTCGCTGCTGATGTCGTTGCAAAGGTGAGAAGGCTCTTCTTTGCTAGTGTTAGAGCTTACCCTCTCAGGCAAACTCTGGTCATCCCGGTGCTCCCATGGTAGGGCACTTGTCTCTGTCAGTGCTGTAGCCAAGCTGACTCTCTCCAAGGGGATGGCCCCCGTCGCTCATGTCCTCTGGACCAAATTCCTAAAATTCAACTCCAAAAACTCGGGATGGTGGAACCGTGACCGCTTTGTGCTCTCAAACGGTCATGCGTTAGTCGTTTACTTCTCTTGGCGTGAAATGGCCATTGACCCTCATCAGGTGCGCTCTCCAATACATCATGCTGCACCTCTGCGGCTACAAGCTGTCCATGGATGACCTCAAGTCGTTCCGTCAGCTCGGCTCTATTACCCCCGGTCACCCAGAGGCCCATATGACTGATGGTATCGAGGTCACAACCGGTCCTCTCGGACAGGGTGAGTGCGGTGATCAAAAAGAGTCCTCCTTGTTGATAGGCCCATAGGTATCTGCAACGCTGTCGGTATGGCCATCGCTCAAGCCCACCTGGCCGCAGTGTTCAACAAGGATGGCTTCCCCATCGTCGACAACAAGATCTATGGTGAGTGACATCGTTCTGCACTGGCGTCCTGTCACGCTGACCCTACACAGCATTCCTGGGAGATGGTTGTCTGCAGGAAGGTGTTTCTTCTGAAGCCATGTCACTTGCCGGGTTCGTCGGCTTGCATTCCATCCGTCGCTCACACTGACCACTCAGTCATCTCCAACTGGGCAACCTCATCGCTGTCTACGACAACAACAGTGAGTCATAACCTGTTGTACCCGTTCAGCCCCAAGCTGACTCGTGACAGAGATCACTATTGACGGTGACACTGCCGTCTCTTTCACCGAAGACGTGGAGGCCCGTGTCAAATCCTACGGGTGGAATGTTCTTCACGTTGAGAACGGTGACTCGTGGGCTGCATTTGTGTGAACTACTGGAATGACGCTGAGTTTATAGCGACTTTGCTGCCATCGAAGCCGCCATCGCCGAGGCAAAGACGAGTGTCTCGGCTCCCACTCTGATCAATCTTAAGACCATCATTGGATTCGGATCCAAGCAACAGGGTACCCATGGTGTACACGGATCTCGTGAGTTGTTTCAACCGTCTCAAAGACCCTTTCTTACTACTAGCACTCAAGGCCGATGATATCGCCCACCTGAAAACGACTTTTGGCTTTGACCCCGAAGCCAAATTTCAGATCCTTCAAAGTACCACCGATTTGTACAAGGCTGTTATCGACAAAGGCGCCAAAGCGGAAGCCGAGTGGAACGAATTGTTGGAAAAATACAAGCAACAGTATCCCAAAGAGGCCTCCGAGCTCGTCCGTCGCTTTGAAGGCCGTCTGCCAGACGGCTGGGAGAAAGCCTTGCCCACCTACTCGCCATCCGATCCCGCCGTCGCCAGTCGAAAGCTGTCAGAAACTGTCCTCACCAAACTGGCCGCCGCTCTTCCAGAGCTCATTGGGGGTTCCGCCGATCTAACGGGCTCGAACTTGACTAGATGGAAAGACGCCGAAGACTTTCAACCCCCCTCCACCGGTCTTGGCTCATATGCTGGAAGATACTTCCGTTTCGGTGTCAGGGAACATGGTATGGTGGCCATCTGCAACGGCTTGGCAGCATATGGAGGTGTCATTCCCTTCAACGCTACATTCCTCAACTTTGTGTCATACGCCGCTGGAGCCGTTCGTCTCGCCGCTCTCTCTCACTTCCGAATGATATGCGTCGCGACCCACGATTCTATCGGTCTGGGTGAAGACGGACCCACTCACCAACCGGTTGAGACTGCTGCCTGGCTCCGTGCCATGCCCAATCTGGCCTTCTGGAGGTGAGATATCGTTTGTCTAGACGGAGGATGTGCTGATTACACTAGACCCGCCGATGGTAACGAAACATCTGCCGCTTACATGGTGGCCCTGCTTTCGACAGGTACTCCATCTGTCATGGCGTTGTCGCGTCAAAACGTGAGTCAATATCGTCATCTTTTGGGCATAGTCAGGCTCATCGCATAGCTGCCTCAACTGGAGGGATCCACCATCCAGAAAGCGACCAAGGGTGCATACGTGCTGGAGGAAGTTGAGAATGGTGGGTCTTGTGTTCTGTTAACGGAACAAAGCACTGATGGGACTAGCCGATCTGACAATCGTCTCCACCGGATCCGAGGTGAGTCATGACTGCGCATTCTGATCATGATTGCAGTTGATATCATTAGGTCGGACTCTGTGTTGCGGCGATCCAGAAGCTCAAGAGCAAGGGCCTCAAAGTCCGCATGGTCAGCATGCCCTGCGTCGACGTCTTTGTGAGTGGCTTGGATGAGCGATGGTCCGTAAAGACAAGGCGCTAATTGATGTGCAGTTGGCCCAAGACAAGGCTTACAAGCTGAGCGTCCTCCCATCCGGAAACCCCGTCTTGTCGGTTGAAGCTTACTCAACCTATGGGTGGGGCAACGTGAGTCACGAGCACTTTGGTCTGAAAGCATGGGGAGCTTCCGGTCCGTACGACCAGGTGTACGAGAAGGTGAGTGTCGATGGCTAGCAGTCGATGTGATCGCATGACTGACGCGAACAGTTTGGTTTGACACCGGATGGGATCGCAGAGCGTGCCGAAAAGGTGGCAGCGTTTTACAAGAACCGCGGTCAGCATGTGGTGTCGCCATTGATCTCTGCCTTGGATGACATTTCCGACTAGGTGTCTGCTGTCGAGCTGTCGGGCTCTTGATCTGGTTCGACAGAGTGGATACGGGGGAGAGGGAGAGAGATGCCATCTGGATGCATTCGCCGTGTCGATTGTGGAGCTGATGTCTGATCGTCTAATAATGTAGGAGAGTACGCTGCGAGACGTCGGGTCGGTATCCATCATCTGTCTGATCAAGTCATCAGATTTGACACGGGCGACGTTCAAGAGATCTCATTTACTACATATGACACTTGCCTCGTTGGTGGGTTTGGATCGATCTTGCCCTTGTACTCACCCCATATTACTCGCACTTGGTATAACTTTCCTCAAGCTGTGTCTGCCGGTCGGATGATGGATATCGAAGGGTAAGCGTATCATGTTACCAACCGACCATGTATGATATAGCTGAACAGTGCAAGGTTTAGACAAGCGGGTCTGTATAAACAACCACTTACAACAACCTGACTCTGCACTCATCACCAGGTTATGCCGCCGTCGATGCCATATGCGACTACTATACCCACTTGGACCGACGACCGGTCAAGGCCGAGGTGGAACCGGGGTATCTTCTTGCCCAACTACCTGGTTTGTCTCACTTCCTCATGCATGACATCCACATGGGCAACGTCCGAGCTGATCCCTGACAGGTGAAGCCCCTCAAACTGGCCAACCTTTCCCTTCCATCGCTCGTGACTTTCAGCGTCTCATCTTACCGGGGATCACCCATTGGCAACACCCCAGCTTCTTCGCCTACTTTCCCGCTATATCCACCTTCGAGAGCATGCTAGGAGATCTCTATGCCGCAAGTGTTAGCAATCCAGGTTTCAACGTGAGTTATTGGTTCACGCTCGCTCATTATACTCTCACACGCAGTGGGTATGTTCCCCAGCGTGCACAGAACTCGAACAAGTTGTCATGGACTGGATGGCCAAGATATTAGGTCTGCATCCTTCATTTCATATAGGGAGTGGGAAGGGAGGGGGAATAATCTCGGTACGTTGGTCCAACATATCTCCAGTTGGTGATGTCACTCGGCTGAAGAGTAGGGAACCGCTTCAGAAGCAGCTTTCACAGCTGCAATGGCGGCCAGGGAAAGGGCTCTACGGTATCTCAGCGACGGTCTTGACCAGTCCAGGAATGGACGCTGTCCCGGGATCTCCAATTTCCAACGAGGTCCGAGAGAAGTGGTCTCAAAAGCTTGTGATGTATGGCAGTACTCAAACCCACAGCATTGCTGCCAAGGTGAGTCATTCCCAGTTCACCCCGGGGAAAGGTTCAGCTGAATCCAGCAGGCCGCTCGACTACTGGGTCTTCGATTCAGAGCGGTCCATGTGACCGCCGCCGACGGCTACGCTCTTCGTGGAGATGCTCTTCGAGAAGCGATCGAGGCCGACGTAGCCACCGATCTGGTACCGTTCTTTGTCGGTACGTCTTCCAATCATCCAGATCCAGAGTCGGAATGCTCAAAAATCAGTCGCGACAATCGGAACAACCTCTACCGGTGCAGTCGACCATATCGCAGACATTGGTCAAGTCTGTGAGTGTGTTCATATAAGTAGCTTACTCACATCAGAAGTCGGAGGATACTGACAGCGAGTGAACTCCTACCCCACCGCGTTTCTCCATGTTGATGCTGCTGTGGGTCCTGCCATTGATGACCAAGGAAAGGGCTGATACCTTTATAGTGGGCAGGGATGGCTTATGCCCTTCCAGAGTATCGAGCGAAGCTTCGTCTCGACGAGGTCAACACATATGCTCATTCATTCTGCGCCAACGCTCACAAATGGGGTCTCGTGGGGTTTGATTATTGTCAGTAGGTTCAATGCTCGTGTGAAGTCTGGCTAAAGACCTAACAGCGCTATTTTACATCAGGGACAGGAAGGATCTGACAGAGGCTCTGGATGTCACACCAGTGGGTCCGAGTGGTCACGAGATGGTTCTGTCGCTCACCGAGTAGGCGTTCTTGCGGAGTAAAGAAGGTGATTCAGGAATTGTCATCGACTATCGCAACTGGCAATTGGCTCTGGGAAGACGGTTCAGGAATGTCAAACTGTGGTTCGTCCTCCGAAGTTACGGCGTTGATGGGTTGCAAAAACATCTACGATCAGTGAGTCGTCTGTATCTCAACGTCGAGGAATTGTGGCGAGAACGATGACTGATGATCTAGGGAATCCATCACTGCCGAAAATTGGCAGATCGGATCAGGTCGTCAAAGGATTTTAAACTCGTCGCCGAACCAAGTCTGAGTCTACTCGTCTTCCGTCTTCAGCCACAGGGATACGAGGGAGGCGAGGACGATGACCTGAATAGGTTGAACAAGACCCTGCATGAGCGTCTGATGGCGAGGAGTGACGTGTTCTTGACTCGGACGGTGATCAAGACTGAGGAAGGGGAGATGACCTGCATCCGGTTTGCCATGGGTGGACTGAAGACGACATTGGAGTGTGTGAACGCGACTTGGGACGTTGTGGAGCAAGAGGGAGCTGCGGTGTTTGCGAAGGATGAGTAGGGGATGGATGTTGATCATAAGTAGTATTTGACATCATTTTATAACAGCCTACACACGCAAAGACATGCACCACGGTATCACCTTCTAAAAGACGAATGTCAGCGCCAACTCGTCCACCAAGTGCCAAGTGCCACGTGCCACGTCGCCGTCACTACGCAAACTTACTACTCTAAACTCACTCACCTATATAACCTTTCTCCACTTTGTCTCTACGACACATGCACCGTATCGTTATCACTCTACTTCACACCGTCGGCACTTAGAATTGGCTATCTGATCGTCATGGAGTGAGTCCTGTGTCGACTCGGCAACTCTCGTCACTTGCTAACCCCTCCTCAGGCTACTCTACCAACACATCCTTCCTCACCTTCCTCGCCAACTTCAACAACTTGTACTCAACCCTCCCTCCCTCAGCCACCCGCTCTCTTTCCTTCCCATCTTCCGAACCGCCGCTCCGTACGCTTGGTGGATCATCGTCATCCTCTCCTTTTACATCGTGTGGACCACCCTCGCCGGCGTCTTCGGTTATTTTTCCAGAATCCTTCGTTTCGCCCTTCGCATCGGTCCCATCGTAGGTATCATCGCTTGGGTCATGGCCAATTCGGGACAAGGGAGCATGGAAGATATGTTTTCTGCGGCTCAACAGTGGATGGGCGGACAGAATGGAGGGTCAATACCAGGTTTGGCTTCTCTCGCCGGTCTATTTACCGATTCCCCTAGGAGTAGTCGCAGCAGGAAATCCACATCTCGATCTGGTCTCTTCGGTGGGACTGAACCCATCTCCTCTCGAACGAGGAGTAGCAAACAGAAAAAGGGAAAGAGAGGGTCAAAGAAGGGTGGTGGGAACGTACCGGGTGAAGATTTCGTCACGACACTTCTCAACTCTGCCACCGGGTTGAACAGGGAGGAAGGAGGGATAGGATGGCAGGATGTGGTGCAGGATTACGTCAAGACGGCTTTGGCCAAGGCCTCGGGACTGGAGTGGCTGTTCGGCGATGGAGCGGCAGAGGAGGAACAAACTGGGAGGTCGGGGAGGAGGAGATGATAAGCATTCCTCATTCAAAACGGGGTATTTGGGGGTGAGGTGTAACATATTTAACGGTACATGAGGGATAATAAACCAGGTTGATGATGCATGTGAGTGAGACGTGTATGACCCTACTCTTTGACATCATATCACCTCGGCATCTGCACCGACGTCGATGAGGGAGAGTAGTGGACGGGAACAACCTGGCTCATATCCATGGCAGTGTCCCAAGTTCCAAGAGTAGCTAGCTACTTTCCGTCACGTCGACCCGACCGAGCACACTCAAGCTCGAAGACGAGGCTCAAAGTGGGCATCCAGACGTCATGATCATCTCGTGGTCGGAGCCGTCAGAGGGTAGGGCTCGTATCAGGGTCACAAGGCCTTGCTTGGTGGAGTGAAGAGAACCATGCAAAATGGTCCAAGAGAAAGGGCAACTTTCATCAGGCGTCATGCATCGTATACACATTAATTCGGGTCGGTCATTTGACATTTCATCTCGCCTCCTGCCCAGCGGCTTTTGCTCCAGCTCTTCAAGCTCATGACGTTCCCTTATAGTGCCAGCTTGGAGAAGAAGTGGTAAAAGTCGACAGGCGTGGCGGCGAGGGAACCAATTTCGTAAATGTAGTTTGAGCTCACCCACGCCGACCAGACGGCGCGTTGATACTGTCTGTTAGCGGGCGACAAGTCACTTGCAGGTGCGAAGTTATCACGGCGAGGGGTCAGGAGCATATGACAATATCAGGGCTGTGGGGAAGAGAATGATGAGGAGGACGCGCGCATAACGACCGGCCACGTACCTGCTCGGGTAAACGGTTCATCAATTGTTCCAACCCGAGCTTCTTGACCAAAGTCTCTGGGAAAGCTTTGACCAACACATTCTTCCTCGAGTGTTCATTCTCGTAGAGGTCTGATCGCTCCAGTTCAGCTTGGAGATCGTTGAGGGTGGAAGAGAGACGGTCAGAGATGATTGTGCGAGGAACAGAGCTCTTGTTGCGCTGGTATTCTTTGGTAATGCTGACAGATCAGCAACAAATACACGATACGAAGGGATGGGAGTCAAATGGTCGAGTGACCAGCACACTCACCAGCTGTACTCCGCCGCAGCGTTCTCACAAATCTTGTGCTGTATATCCCGCACATAGCTCTTGTAAAAGTCGCTTGACTTTCCGTCCTTGAACACCATCTCTTCCATATACTCCTGATCCGTCAGACCCAGCCCGGCGAGGACCTCCAACGACGAACTCGTGACCCCTCCCTTGTTCGTGCTCGAGTCTTTGAACAACACCACCCCCTTCTTCTCCAAGAACAGACGAGACTGTTGGGTGATAAACAGATTGGCACCTTCGACGACGTACTTGAAGTTCGGCTTGCCATCTGCGTCCACTAACCGTGCAACATTGGAGATGTTGACAGCTTCAGGTCGACCACCGCAGGGAACAAAGAGGTCACACTTGACTCGGAAGTGAAAGTTGTTCCGGAAATCGGTGCCGTCGGGGACGATCTCACCCGTCGGAAGAGCGACGTCCTTCTCGTCCACCAACACGCGATATCCGTCCTTGCCAAGCTTCAAAGTGTCAAACTCCGAAATCATCTGGCGAGCTTTCGCAAGCCGCACGAGTTCGGTGCGGTCCAAACCAGCTGGATCATACAACACGCCTGAACCGTCAATGATACCGACAGTCTTGTCCTTTGATAGAAGGATTTCGTTCGAGCCGAGGTCACCATCTGGTCCTCCCGTCTGTAGTTTTGTCACGTCCTTTTCGTTCAATCCATGGGCCTTGAGAACGCCGAGGATGTACTGTCTGACCGAGAGCGATGTCATGCCGTACGCATCATGAGGTATACCGCCGAGGAACTCTGCCGATTTCCCTGTTGTGAACGATTTCCACCAAGGCGCACCCCTGGAGCGAGCATGCTCGGCAGCCCAGTCCATGAGGTCGGCAGTATTTTCGTCTGGACCGAAGAACAGAATCTCGGGATCCGACCGACCAGACACATCCACAATGTGGCCTTTGATTCCGGGGGTCTGGCCAGGGATGAGGAGGTCGATGATAGAGTCCACGTATTGTTCGAAACAGCCCCGCATGCTTGCATTCACCGAAGGCAGGATTGTACCTTTAGCGCCACCTTCGGGAATGTCTTTGTTCTTGAGCGTCTGGGTGGAAGCCAAGCCGTAATTCTCATCGAACAAGGTGCGGACGTTTGAGTTGTAGTTTTCCGTACCGCGAGATCGGATGATTCTGATGCCACCACGAGCGACGTCACGGAATCGAACGTGGAAGCCACGGAAGTCGGAGCCCACCACGAAAAACATGCCAAAGGGCTTTTTGGGATACTCGACCTCTGGCAGGAAGCCTGGGTCAAGACGGAAGGAGAGTGCGACCTCTGATCAGTCAGCAAAGTCACCCACGCATGACTTACTTGTGGGCTGATAAAAGTTGCATTTCAGCACGTGCTTGTTGAATATGAGGAGGGCCTCTAAGATTTGTTGAGCATGCTGGTTTGATGCGGTCTTGCGGATCTTATGATACAGTTCTTCGTCAGTCATGGGTTGCTCGGTGCGGAGCCGTTGGAAAGACAGTGTAGGTGTAAGTTGGGATGCTTCGTCGGCAGCCGGATCTGAACCATGAGCGGACTACGTTCACTCGAGGAAGGAGGCACGTACAATGAACCATGGCAAAGTTGATGTACAGCATTCTGATGAGGTCAGGGTGACTGTGAATGACCTGTTTAATACTCTCGCGGGTGAACGTCTCCTCCCTGAATCGGGTCTTGATTTTGTTGAGGACCTCTGCATGGGTGGGATTCTCGTCATCAAGCACTAAAGTGAGCCCTAGTGGTAGACATGAAGACGATTGGACCTCACCATTTTTCAGAGCCAGATAGGCCGAGCCCAGACGGTTGCAGAAGTGTTGAGCAAATATCCAACCCACATAGGCGTAAGTGGCCTCTTGCACCGCGTGGGGACTCTCATCATCGTCATCATCGATTGAAAACTGCCATCAATGTCCGTCACAGTGGAAACTGTCAACCAAGCTGGTGAGGACTAGAGTGAACTCACGAAGGGATTGTCGGGCAAGCAATACAACAGCGACGCTTCGCGAACCACTTGGTGGATAGAGTGCTCAATGGGCGGTGCCCTCGAATTGGGAGTAGGATTGAGGTACATGGCTAGCCAGTCAGCAACATCGAACATGGTGACCGTATTCACTCACAGATGATGGTGACCCCATTGGAGAATTGTTCCACGTATTTACGTCGAGAATATAGGCCGTAAAAGTGATACAAATGGGACAGCGCAGAGAAGAAGGCGCGGGTCCCCTTCATCCTATGATGTATCAGTCAAGCTATCTAGACACTCTGTAGAGCAAGAAGTACACGAAGCCGTCAAGATGGTTAGTGACGGCAGAGGGAATTACACACCGGTAGCCAATGACCACTCTCCTTTCCCTACTCTCTTCCACCTCATACATTTCGATTACGGGACCCTGCCTCCGCTCGACTTCGTTCATCACACGCTGGTATATTTCAAGCGTGTTGTCACTCGCTTTCTCCAAGAACGACGCATCCGACACGGAACGTATGTCGGTGGTACCGTCTGCAAGCTTGACCGGGACGGAAGTGGGGAAGACACAGAGAGCGACGAAGTAGCATCGGAGCTGTTGGGAGATGGTTGACGAGATAGCACCCGAAGATCGGTAGGTTTCCAGACGAAAAGCCTTGCCAGGGTTAGAATTGTCCAAGAAGAGTGCGTCAATCCTGGGCATGAGCAAAGTCTCTCACGATATTCGGGTTCGAGCTACAAGGCATGACAGCAGGAGTCTCAAGCTTACCGTTTTTCCACACTCGCACTTGGCCCTTCCTTCTCCGTGACACCTGGCTTCGAAGTATGAATAAACACTGCTCCTTCTCTTCCGGTTTGGCCCTCAGGAGTGATTTTCTCCAAGTCAATCACAAGCTTGTTGGGATCATGCTTGGTGTACGCCAAAAGTTTTGCCGAGTACAACGCCAGGATATGGTCTGCGATGGCTTCCGGGGTTTCAGATAGGCTATCGATCAGCATGCGCTGTTCCGAGATGATTCATTCGGTGAAACTGGGGCCAGGACTGGCTTGAGATAGCTCGGAATGCGACTTACAAGTACATGTTGTCGATCCCCAGATGGCCATAGAACCAGTCTACCTCCCCCGCCACCAATTCTGCGGGCATGAAGCCGGTCTCTCCCAGTATCCGGGTGACGGCTTGTTGCTGGGAAGCTTTGGCGGGGAACGGCGAAGCTCTGTAACCACTGCAGGCTCGTCAGCACTGTGCGTTGAGTCTGTGCAAGCATCGCACTAAGATGACCTTGCTGCAATGACACGGATGATAGGCAGGCGTGATATTGTGTGAATGGGAGCAAGCAGGGGGGCGCTCACATGGTGTCCTTGCGAATCCGATTGATTGACAGATCCGAGTTCTGACGTGAGATGGCCGGTGTCCCCAAACCGATGCCGTTCAGCTTGGTGATTTGGGCGGGGAGAAGAGGTTGAAGCTGCTGTAGGTGTCAGCACGGCGACTTTGATACTGCGCAGGAGGAAGATGCTGAGATGGACTGACGTTGCCATTCGGCGGTGTAGATACGGGAGTCGCCATGTTGCTGTGAGCACAAGAGGTACTGGGGTTTATTTAATGATAAAGATCAACTGCAAGTCAGCGCTGAGAGTTATACAACGACGAGACGATATATCCGAGTCGAATAGATGACAAAAGGAGCAGGCCGTCCCTGGATACGAGGTCTGTGATCTGTGACCTGTGAGCCGGTCAAGGAAGGAGGGGGAAAAGGGGCAGTGACAAGCTTCATCACCGACGACATCACGTGGGGGATTTGATCGGGTGGACTGCAAGCCGGAGGGTGAGGTGGGAGGTGAGGGGCTATGGGGGGGATGGTAGTGGGGTCTAGCTGGAAGAGACGACTACCTACGGTGGTGGGTGGAATGCTAGATGGGTGGGCAGCGGTACAGATGGATGGGGGCGAGCTGTCTGTGAGAGGGATAGATCAACGATACGGCCTCGACGGTGACAGGTTATATATGAGAGGGTATGTATGTACGATAAGGGGATGGATGTTATCTTTCGGTTGAGATGAAAGATGAAAGGTGGAGAGTACTAGTGGGAGATAAAGCTGAGTCTATATAGAGCGGGGAGGGGAACAAGAGGGGGCACGAAGGGTTGAGTACGATTCCAAGGAGGGTGGGTGGGTGGGTGTATGAAACGGGACGTTGGGGGAGATAGAGATGTGGGTTAA